TTTGGGAACAAGAAGCCAGTTACCTCAGGGAGTTTTCCCTCACTTGTCCTGAATGCTCATGTTGCTCTAACTCTTCATGACAGTCACAATGTTTCCTGACATGTGGAAGCCAGAATTCCAATTTTTCTACTTCCACTTAGGACTCCCCCTGCACTCCGCTGTATTCTGTCATTCATTACTTCAGGGCCCTGGCCACAAGGTGACGCTAGAAGAAAAAGATACACTAGTGTTTGTGGTTGTCATGGCTTGAATCTGAAATGATCCCTGTCGGCTCCTGCTTTGAGCGGTTGGTCCTCAAGTGCTGTAGTCTGTGGGGGACTGTGGAACCTTGAGGAGGTCTGCCTGGCTGGCCGAAGCAGGGAACCAGGGTTAGAGTCAGTCCCTTGTTCCTGTCACACCGTCGGCCTTCTGGTCCACTGTGATGTGAATGAACATCCTTCTCCACACACTCTCGCTGCCACGAGCTGAGATGCACTAGCCTGCCCTCCCCAGCACAGCGGTTCCCAGTGCTCCGCAAGTGCGATCCAAAGCAAACCTACCAGACATTTGGGTCACAGCAACACAGAGTGACTAATACAATCATTTTATTCCCAGTAGACACAACTAAATTCAACATTCATACACACTTTCTATGATAGAAAACCTTACTTTGTTTCTTTTTCATGCATATTACATGTACACTAGTAGAATTTGTATTTCTCTTTAAATAATTCATTTTTTTCATAATTTGGCAATGCACATTTCTTTTTAAAGATTTGTTTATTTATTTATTTATTTATTATGTATACAGTGTTCTGGCATGTATGCTTACACCCTAGAAGAGGGCATCAAATCTCATCATAGATAGTTGTGAGCCACCATGTGGATGCTGGGAATTGAACTCAGGACCTCTGGAAGAGCAGCCAGTGCTCTTAACCTCTGAGCCATCTCTCCAGCCCTGTACATTTCTTATAATCCACTTATAAAGAAGATAGTTTGTAGAAATCTACAGGAACCCCTTATTCTGTATAGAATAGTTTTTATTTAAAATGCAAGACTAGAAATTTAAGTTCATTCTGCATATATTAATTGTCATGGGAAGTATTTTATATGGATCAGATTCAATATTCCCGAGAATATACAAGTTGAGTTCTTTCTTCCCCTTAGGTCCTGCACCCTTCCTAATTTTCTCACATGGAAACAGCATCTCCCGGATTGACCCAGAAGGAACAAATCACCAGCAGTTGGTGGTGGATGCTGGCACCTCGGTGATCATGGATTTCCATTACAAGGAGGAGAGACTCTATTGGGTGGATTTAGAAAGACAACTTTTGCAAAGAGTTTTTCTTAATGGGTCAAGACAAGAGGTAAAGTACCTTTATCATCCATGGCATGTGAAGAATTTATACAAAAGCTGACAAATACGACATATTGGATTTTTAATGCGTAGGTAATTTGTCTAAGGTCATACCACTCTAAATAGGCCCTGATCTCATGAGCTAAACAGTACTTAGAACTTGGATGGGAAGAAAAATGAAAATACATTAAGGTTCAAATGTGTGTGCGATAAATACAGGCATTTAATCTGCCTCTGTGGTTCTCTAACTATTGACTAAACGTACAATTAATATTTGTAAGCCTCTAAAAGAAGAACATGAGGAAACTGATGTAAGTTTGAAAGCATCTGATTTTGTTAAGTCAGTCATCACGAAGACATCATTTGCATGTTGATTCTGTACCTCAGACAGTTTCGTCCCTCTGTGAATATTGCACAGGAACCCTTCTGTTTGTCACATGTGGGTAAGATAGGCGGGTAAAGATCTGTAGGCATCTGGTGGGCACAGGCAAGGCTGACACCCAGCATCCTGCACTCTGTGGACAGCCCCACAGTGAAGCACTGTATAACTTCACTTGTCAGTAGTGCTGAGGTCAAGAACGTCTCTTCTATAGGCATGCATTTTTTTCTCACATGGGGAAAAAAATTGCCTGACATTTAGGAAGAAAAAAAAATTGCCTTGTATTCTCAAAGTATTTGTACCCTAGGGAAAAAAATGAAGCCAAGGACAGATAAAAAGTGTTGTATTTCAAGTACATACAAAAGACCCTTAATCTTTTTCTTCAACTGGTAGAACCCGGTGGTGAGTCCCAGGAGGAATGTGCGCTGGAGATGGATTACCCAGAGCAGGTGATTAGCGGAACCTCAAGCGTTTATTCCCAAGACAAAGAGCTCATTGTCTGCATTTTTTTTTCTTTTTTTCTTCCAAACCAAACCTCTCTCCTTCCAATTATTCCTAAAAGCCTCAATTAGGTGCAAATCTGTTTTAGTACATCTCTAATACTGGCTAGCCTCACTTCAACAAGTTTGGCTGCTCCGTATTCTCCAGCCGTCTGCTAGAACAGTGTGGAAATTTTCAAATTCGGAGGCTCCTTGTCACCAAACTAGGAAAAGGGCCTAAGCAGTTGTGGAGTTATGTCAAATCCTTAGGAAAGGATTGGCCCAATGCCTAAGAGCTCACCACACCCCCGCCCCTGTATTTCAAACAATACATAGGGAGCAGCACACACTGTGTGTGAAAGTAATTTAAACGGGAGAACTAACTGAGAAGGCAGTGGTTGTTAACAGAGATCTAGTACAGCTCCCTGTTACCGAGCCTCAAGCTCAGCCACGTCCTGCAGGGAGTCAGAAGGGCAGTGGTAGGGTTATGTTACCATAGGAACTTGTGGAGGTAAAAGCCAAGGCTTCCTCCTACCTCAAGCCTTCCAAGCCCCAAGAGGACTAGTTGGCTCACCCAGGCTGGACTCACAGATATGGATTCTTTTGTTTGGTTCTTTCAAGAAAATGCAAGGGACAGCCCAAAGAGAAATCCTGCTTCTCTGGTCTCATTGAGATCTGCAAGAAGAAAGGGATCTGACAGAAGAAGGGTGGGGCAAAAGAAAATGGGGTTCCATAACAAAACTGCTTTTAGAGACTGGAGCTGTAGCTCAGTTGCTAGGGTGTTTGCCTGGCACACAGGAAACCCTGAGTTTGATCCCCAGAGGTACATAAACCAGGTGAGGTGGTACCGGTCTGTAATCCCAGCACTCAAGAAACAGAGGCAGGAGGATCTGGAGTTCAAGGTCATCCTCAAGCACATAAACAGTTCCAGGTGAGCCTGGGCTATATGAGATCCTGTTTCTAAAGCAGGTGGGGAATCCACTCCACGACTCTGCTCAAATCCCAATGGAATCTTACCAGAGTTTCGAAAGACCTAAACTTAAGCTCAGGTTAGGATTCCATTACCAAGCAGAATTGAATAAACTGCCTTGAAGCAATAAAAACAAAATCTGTGAAGTTATTAATATATTGTGGCTGATCTTCTAATTTCAATAGTATATAGGATAATTTATTTATCCCAAAGCTATGATACAAGGAGGGGGTGTACCATTGCTGAATCAAAACAAACTCACTCTGTGGCTATTTTATCATTTAAAAGATGGAGGAATGAATCAAAATGGCAAATACGAAAACAACAGACTTTATATGTGCAACAATAAAGCAATTTTGTTATCAATTGTAAATATTTATAAATATTTTAATTTGGTTTTGCAGACAGTGTGCCATGTAGAGAAGAATGTGTCCGGGATGGCCATAAATTGGGTAGATGAAGAGGTTCTCTGGGTAGATCAACAGGAAGGAATCATCTCCGTGACAGATATGAAAGGCAACCGTTCCCACGTTCTTCTAAGTTCCTTAAAACAGCCGGCAAATGTAGCAGTGGATCCAATGGAGAGGTAAAAATCTGTTTTTTTTTTTTTAAAGAAATTGAAATGAACTTCAAATCTCACCAACATTCCTAAATCATAATACCTGAAAGGCCAAAGGACTTCTGGGTGAGACTCAAGTGCTTTTTGACAACACACAAGTGCCGTTTTCTCCAAAACAAGTGGCCAGGTTGGGTGGGACTCTGAAGACACTCCTCCCTGCCCCATGTTCTGCTATAAAAACTTAGTTTTCTTTCACACTTGAAATCACGTGGCATTCTCACTCAAAATAGGCAGACTGTCCCTGGGCAGGCACCGGAGGAGGCAGGAGCCTCCACTTTAGTGACTGTTTATTCAGTTTACTACTGTGACATGTGATGTGTTCATTCCCAGGTTGATATTTTGGTCCTCAGAGGTGGCGGGCAGCCTTCACAGAGCAGGTCTCAGTGGGGAGGACGTGAGAACGCTTCTGGAGACAGCGGAGAGGACAACAGCGTTGACTCTGGATGTGCTTGGCAAGCGGCTCTTCTGGGTCCAGGACAGCGCAGAAGGAAGACATGCTTGCATTCGTTCCTGTGATTATGACGGGGGCTCCGTCCAGCTTCTCAAACATCAAACACAGTAGGTTTTGGTTTTGCTATGCAGCAAAACAGTTGCCATTTGAAGCTGGTGTGGTAAATTGTTACTCTTGTCAAGTAAAGGGGTATGCTAGTGTACACACAGACTCGCTCTGGAGCTAGTTTGTGGAAGAATCGAAACTTAGCCTCGTGTGAAGATGTCACAACCAGCACGCCGCTCACACCTTACTCTTGGTTTCTTCTCCATTTCCAGCACACTTGTGTGTGTCGGGAGAACAAGAAGGGAGGTGGAGCTAGAAATTGTATCCAAGTAGGATGATGTAAACCAAGTTTTAAACCTAATATGCTTGTCTAAACCAAACTAGGAAAAGAGAGATGACTAAGATTCAAACAAACAAAGAAAAAATTTCCAAGTGGGGTATTCAGCTTTAAAAATTCTGGTAACACACGTTTGGTCATTAACACCTCCCCCGCTTTTTTTTCTGGGTGTTTTTAGGCACAGTTTGTTTACAATGGCCCTTTTCGGTGACCGTATCTTCTATTCAACATTGAAAAAGAAGGCGATTTGGATAGCCAACAAACGCACCGGGAAGGACATGGTTAGAATTAACCTCAACCCATCCTCTGTGCCCCCTGGAGAACTGAAAATAGTGCACCCCCGTGTACAGCCCAGGGCAGAGGACGGTGCTCAGGGCTCCGGTGAGTCGCTAGTTCCCTCAGAAGAACCTGGCACGTATTCACTCCTCATCTACTGGCTCAAGCTAGACGCGTAGGCATTATGGTGTGTAGGGGGATTTTTATTCAGCTATCATCAGTTCTTCGTTCAAACATAGTCCTGAAACAAAAGGCAGATTTATAAGAGGAAAACACATAGACGTTCATTAGCATTCCTTTTCGTATATGAAAGAGACATACTGGGTTCCTAAAGCAATTAAACCCGGGAGGTGACTAGAACAATTTAGTCAGTTGTCCATTTACTTGGCTAACATTTAATGCTTCCGATTTACTTATTTATGAATAACCATCGAATGCATGGTAGTTAAAAACCCAAATAAGAAAACAAAATCAAATGGCCTGACTTGAAGCACTTGCATGTTATTTATTCATAGAGGGGAGACAGAATAAAGAAGAAAGCAAGTCAGTGCATAATTACACCTTGTAATGAGTTCAATGAAGGGTAGACTGAGGGGGAAGCAGGGGTGTGGGTGTGCTATTTGATTGGCTGATCAAAAAAAAAAAAAAAAAAAAGCCTGAGCACATGGCCTCTTAAAGAACATCTTCAAGGAAGAACAATACATGTTCAGAGAAGTGACAAGACAGAAAAAGTACTTTGAGTCCCCAGTAGTGGCCTCTGGGGGTAGGAAACGCAGTGACAGATAGAGACCCATTGGAGCTGGTACTATCCAGCCCTCTGGGACTGTCTCCAGGCAAGGAGAGTGAAGCTGACCTCAGTGATTTTATCCTTGCTCTCCCTGTGGGACACCTCTGTGAGCCTTAGGCTAAGAGAAGGGGCAGGGGCGGAGAGCTTGCCTGGGCCTGCAGAGGCTTAATGCCTGCAGCCCAACTGTCTTAATATTTGGGGAGGGAGGGTGGGTGGTAGTCTGGTGGTCCCAATTTCTTCCACCTAATTCCTTCCATTCTACCTCCTAAGCACATCTCAAACGTGCAGTCCTCTTCCTCTGTTCCATGTTCATCAACAGTCCATCTGTCCTGCCTGGCCCGTGATAGTGGTTGGTCACTACCTGAACCTTTTCCCTCTTTATGCCTGAAATAACAGATCTGATCCATTCACTCCCGGGCTTAGAATCCTTAAGACTATCCTTGGAATTCAGGTTGAAACTCACTGTGGATCAGGCCCTGTGACATTTAACCAGCTTGCTCTAGTGTCCATCAATGGCTAAGGAAGGCCTTCCTTCAGGTCCTCCGAGAGCTGGTGGGTCCGCGGGTCTTTAGGCTTTAGCTCCTCCGGTCCTGCTCTGAGCACGAGTGCCATGCACCCAGACTGCCATCTGACTGTGCCGTCACCTCCTGCATTATTTCCCCCCTCATTGGATTTATTAAGGTGTAATTATACATTCGCTTGCTTTCTTTTCCTTTTTCTCTCCCACTCGTTTCTGCGTGGCATGCAGGTACTTATAGCCAAATCATACCTGTCTCATCGCTGTGTGTTTTTGACCACTGTAAATACTATGGATAGTCATAAATTTTAAATAATGTAGCCGAATGAATGAAAAATTGACAAAATCAAGTCACTCAAATTTCTGCTTCTAAGTGTAATCTCTACTTGAACATGTTAGCATATAATTGCTAGGGTTTGGTTTTTTTAAAGTGTGTGTGTGTGTGTGTGTGTGTGTGTGTGTGTGTGTGTGTGTGTGTGTTAGTAATTATTGGACAGCTCAATGTGGAATCTGCAACATAAAAGGTAATACACTGGCATCTCATATTCAAGTGAAAGCTTTGTTTCTTATACTTGTTAGCACAAATGAACGTGTTCATTATGACATCTTCAAACAGGAACTTTGATCACACTCCCCTCCCTTACCCTCTCTTGCCCACCTCCCCATCCTGCTCCTTCCCACTCCCACCATTCCAAAGGAGTCCTCTTCCACTTTCATCCTTAGGTAAACATTTTAAGGAAGTTTCCAAATCCATGGAGTTTTATTCCCACACAGACTTATGAGGCACTGCATGGCAGATTCACCCCATCCGTCCTGTGGGAGGCCACTAGGTTTTGTGGATGGTGTTGACGTGTTAGGGACTCTAGGCCTGTGTGCACGTGGTATGTGGGTGTCTTCATGTTTGTGTGGGGCTCTTAAAGGTGGCGTGGCTTGTGGAAGGGTGCCTGGAATCAAGGGGCACTCACCTTGTTATTTGTTACACACGCAGGTAACTACTAGTGAGAACCTTTTTTTGTTTGGCTTTAAAACTGAACTAAAAACTGCCATTAAACTTCTATAACAGCAGGGCTTCCAAAGCAAGACGGGATGAACTACGAAGAATAAAATATTTCACCACTAGGTGAAGTATTCTGATTTTTAACGACTTACTTGAATTTAGAGAGCGGAGGTAGCAGAAAGGAATTCCCTGTGAGCTGCGGTAGTGTGTTAAATTGCAACAGCCTGGCAGCGACTCCATAAAACAGAAGCTGAAAATAGTCCCCACGTGAAGGCTGTGAATCCCAGATGGCCAGCTAGTTCCCATGGGAAACCTGACTCACTGCCTTCAGCTCCGACTCACTGAGCGCTGCTGATGACCAGTGAAAGCAGACTAGCTGCTGGGAGGAGCCGCTCTTCGGTCTTAATTATTTCAGTTAACTGTTCTTATTTATAAGAGTCGTGGCGGCTGGCCATCACCACCACTTTCCTCCATGTTCTCACGTAGGCTTGCAGTTTCCAGAGTGCTTTCATGTATGTTATCGTACTGGTCCATCAAGCAGCACTGTGAGACGGGATAGATGGAATAATTGTATTATTTCATGGCTCATAAATCGAAGACACGGAGTGACTTTTTGTGACTACATGGCTAGTTAGTGACTACAGGACTTTTCTTAGTTCTTAGCTTGTGAGATATGGATTGGGGGGGGTGCTCCTGAACAATACTTCAGATTGTGTTCTCTCTTCCATAAACATAGTCTCTCTCTAGAATCCCTCACTATTGGCCAAGCTCCTTTGATGGGGATTCAAGTACGATCATTGAAAGTATCAATTTTAGAAGAAAATCTAGGATTTACTGAAGAGCAGCCTCAAAACACATGATGACAAATAGTACTTGGTTGGGAAACCAGAAAAGCCTGGTATCTGGGATGCAGCTGGCACTGGGAAACGACTCCAGTCATTGACCTAAGTGTGATGTTCGTGCCTACTCCATGTGCAAGGCACCTTTAGATTTCACGAGTGTTGCTACACTGGCCAGCATTAACTAGGTTTAAATTCTTTTTAATGCATCTGAGAGCAGGGATCCTTCACTTGGGACTTGGAGGGGCCAGAGCCCTTTTGATTTTATACATTAGATGAAATATATGAAATATGTCATTATTTCCCCTAGGGGACAGATAACCATGTAGCTTTCATCAGGGTCCTCAATGTGCCAGATACCTTTCAACTGTAAAGACACATTTCTCTAGAGACTGCTGGGTTCCTTCTTCAGGTTTGCCTAAAATTAGCATTCCTCTACGAGTCGCTCAGCATCACCATGGTTGAGGAGACAGACATTAGTAGTGAAGCTGCTTCAATGAGATACTTGAGCAAATGCCCGTAACCTACCTGGCATCATCTTTGTATGAAACACAAATACACAAGTACTTGATGCAAATTAGAGTACCCATGAACTTATTTCTTCTTGTAAAATGGCCAAGTCGTTGCTTATCAAGTACGCACTATAAAATTCTAGTTCTTTGGAATCTAATGGACTCTCTGTGTATGTGCTCTGGAGAGAACCATCCGAGGCTAAATGACTTTGAGATGCTACGTTCAACAAGTTGTTTGAGCAGGCTGATTTTCCTCAAGTGGGAGTCACACATGGTTAAATACACTGCTTCTCTCTAAGGACCACTTAGCCTGTGGTATGTTCCCATCTAATTTCTTATATTGCAGTCCATGACTTAAATCTATTCTTTCTAGGGTAGACCCAATTTTGAGCTCCAGACAAACAAACAAAAAAAAAGCAAACAAACAAACAAAACGAAAAGAGTGCTAAGTTGCTAAGCTGTTTTGCAGAGGAAAGTTTCGGGGAAGGTTTATTTAAAATGCTTGGGACTTAGACATCATATTCTAAAGGGAGCAAGCCTGTGAAGACCTGTCTGACCCTGGCAGAGATGCCATTAGAGATGCCATTCAGGGTAGCAAAGCCTTAAAGCTCTTCAGTGAGGAGGGAGATGCTGGTGTATGCACATCCTTAGCATCTTTCCTTCTGTGCCAAGACAGGCCATTAGTTACTGGAGCTTCACGCTGCTGCCTTCTCACCCCAGGTGGAAGGAGGAAATCCACTGCTTCTGATGACCTGGTCATCTCTTGGAGAGTTTCTGAGATTTCTCCTCTGGCTTCACTCACTTGCTCTGTGCATCCTGCAAGGTCAGGGTTCTGCCACACGAACAGCAGATTAATGTGCTCAGCTGCAGAACACCTTCACCAAGGCCTTCACGTCTGCCTTCTGAGCATTTCTACCTGGATGTCTTTGCTCCAGTCTCAAAGGAAATAACTGACCTGCGAACTCTGCCTACCTGGTTGTCCCCAGAATTGGCACTTTAGTCCCAGAAGCTTGATAAGAGTCAAAATTGTTTCCAGGATACGTTACGACTAAGTCTGCAGGTGGCATTGCACGTTTCTTGTTGAACCAGTTTATGGACATACAGGGGCCAGCTCCATTCTCTTTCTGGCTAACCAGCAGGTCGGAAGTTGCCAGCTTGCCAATCATCTGTAAAATTTCCCTTCAGCTGTTTGCACGATGGCGTTAGAAGCTGTTCATTAGTGCCTACTTCCCTAGAGCCATTTTTTTTTTTTGTAATTAAGTGTTCAGAGTGAAGCCATTCTCATGCCAACACTGCTCACCACCTACCAGCTATGGAATATAGAATTCTTATACAGAGAGGGATCTTTCCACGGCAAATATATAATGGCTCTGAGGAGCTATAACAGGGAAGGCAAACCCAAAGTGAGATCCTATCCCTTAACTACATGTTTTCAGAATAAAAGGTTAATTTCCAAGTATCACCCACAACTGACTTTTCCCAAAGCATATTTATAGACTTACATTTAAAAATAAGAGAATTGCATGTTTCCTTTCTTTAAAAAAAAATTACTTTATGTGCATTGGTATTTTGCCTGCATGTATGTCTGTGTAAGGGTGTTGAATCCCCTGGAACTGGGTAGAGTTACAGCCAGTTGTGAGCTGCCATGTGGGTGCTGGGAATTGAACCTGGGTCCTCTGGAAGAGCAGCCAGTGCTCTTAGCTGCTGAGCCTTCTCTCCAGCCCCCGAGGTGTGTTTCTATTGGCTGATGTCATCCTCTTGTCATCCTCACACGGCAGAGGAGCTCATCTGAGACTTGTCTGTGTGGGAAACATGAGTAGCAGGCTCCTCTCTCTGGGGTGATGCTGACACTGGAGGTCTGGAAGCTGAGGCTGTACCACTGGGGACATGGGCAAAATGGGGGTGGTGGCAGAGGGGGTAGAGTCATGCACACCTTGAATTCCCCACCTTCACTCTGTGGGGTGATCAGGTTTGTCAAAATAAAATAAGGAAGGGAGGCATTATACAAATAAAATGCTAGGCTTTCCCCCCTAATGTTGGGGATTGAACACAGAAACTAGTGCATGCTGAGCAAATGGGGCCCATTGGCCCCAAAACACTTATTTTTCAACTGCTTCAAGGCCATTAGATGGTTGACATTCTAATTCTTACAGGGATCCAGAAGGATAAAAATAGCAAGCAGCCAGATCCTGTTCAGGTGAGGGGGGGGGGACCAACTAGCCATCATTTAAAATTCCAGTAGCACAAAATGACAATTCTTTATTTCTTTCTTTGTGTGTCTATTCACAGAGGACTCCCCCAACCACCACCACCTCCACCCCCCCAAAAAACTATACTAGATACATTAGGAAATCTTTGAGGAAGTTCAGGCAATTATTTATGAGAAGACATCAATAAGAAGAGCAATAAACAAGTGAATCAAAAACATAATCATAGGCTTTACAGAGGTTTACACACACTGTAACATTTTAAGTATGTATGTATATACACACACACACACAAACACACCATATATACATGATAAAAAGTGTAGTCTCGCTGGGCAGTCGTGGCACATGCCTTTAATCCTAGCGCTCAGGAGGCAGAGACAGGGGCATCTCTGTGAGTTCGAGGCCATTATGGTCTACAGAACCAGTTCCAGGACAGCCAAGGCTGTTACACAGAGAAGCCCTGTCTTGAAAAACCAAAAAAGAAAAGTGTAGTCTGCATTCAAAAGGGCTGAGGCTGAGTCAGTTCTACCCTTATTTGATCCTTGACAAAATTTTAATTTTTAATCTGTAAAATGGAAAATAATATTTGTTGTAAATATTCCAAGGGTTTGTTCTCAAAATTAAATTTCATAATTTACTTTATAAAATGGTAGTCTAATTTTTACTGATATGTGCTAAATATTTGGGGAAAGCCAACTATTTAGTTATCAGAATCATTAGGGTAAATGGCTTGAATGAAAAAGACTAGAAAAAAAAGTGCCATATTGATTTCCAAAGTGGTTGTACAAGCTTGCATTCCCACCAGCAGTGGAGGAGAGTTCCCCTAGTTCCATATCCTCTCCAGCATAAGCTGTCTTCAGTGTTTTTGATCTTAGCCATTCTGACAGGCGTAAGGTGGTATCTCAGAGTTGTTTTGATTTGCATTTCCCTGATGATTAGGGATGTTGAGC